GATCGACAGCAGCAGCAGAAGCAACAGAGGGGAGAAGGGGGACAGGGGATCACCCCTCAAAGAAAGGGGTGCGACGGTCGCCGCGAGAAGCACCTACAGCTAAGATACTCTTCTCACCCGCAGTGAGGCGCTCCTCTAGCAGGTCGACAGTGAGCTCGGTGGGGCAAAGGGAGAGAAAGTGGTCCCTGACTGACGAAATGGAGTCAGGGAGGCGGGTGACTAGGTAGTTAAGGGTGATGTACATGGGGGGGGGGTTCTTGGCATAGAACTCAGTGGGAAGGGCAGCGCGGTAGCGGGCGTCACTAGTGCGGAGGTGAGTAATGAGGTCAGCGACTGTGGTAAAGGCGGCAAGGTCAGGGAAAAGGTACGGCAGCATGAGGCGACTGAGGGCAGCAGTGGCAGGGGAGGAGTAGCGCGCAACTATAGCGTCGTACAAGGACTGAGCAGTCTTGTACTGGCCAAAATGTGCGCGCTCAGCAGGCGGCAGGTGACTACGAATAGCAAGGCGAGCAACAGCGTCACGAGTGGTCCACTGCGAGCGAACCATACTGTCAGCAGCGGCAGCAGGTGCAGTAGAGACCCCGGACGTGTGATCGAACAGGGATACCCCATCCTTCGAGTCACACTGAAGAAAGAGCTGCAGGTCGTCAACCCACACGTCAAAGTCAACTGCACGCCCCTCAGCATCAAAGGTGAGAACAGTAGGGCTAGCCATAGCAGCAGTAGCAGCAGTAGCAGCAGTAGTAGTAGTAGCAGCAGTAGCAGCAGTAGCAGCAGTAGCAGCAGTAGCAGTAGTGGCAGCAAAATAGCAGCGTGGCTCGGCAGTGCGGCGCGGCTTGGCTGGGCGGCGCGGCTCGGTGGGGCGGCGCGGCTCGGCTGGGCGGCGCGGCTCGGCAGGGCGGCGCGGCTCGGTTCCTGGCGGCGCGGTGCGGCAGCAGGCGGCGCAGCGCGGCAGGGCAGCGTGGGTGCTTACCAGGGGCGGGTGCAGGGCAGGGTCGCAGCTGGTGTTTTAGGACAGGGCCGCGACTGGGGCAGCAGTAGGGCAGGGCCGCGACAGGGGCGGCTGCAGGGCAGAGGCCGCAACGGGCGGCGAAGGCAGGGCCGCGACTGGGGCGGCAGCAGGGCAGGGCCGCGACTGGGGCGGCAGCAGGGCAGGGCCGCGACTGGGGCAGTAGTAGGGCAGGGCCGCGACAGGGGGCGGCTGCAGGGCAGGGCCACGACAGGCGGCGAACGGGCCGACGACGGGCGGCTGCAGGGCAGAGGCCGCGACGGGCGGCGAACGGGCCGACGATGGGCGGCGAACAGGCCGACGACGGGCGGCAAAGGGGCCGGGACGGGCCGGTGACGGGCCTACATGGGCCGGGACGGGCCGAGAAGGGCCGGGTCGGGCGGAGACGGGCCGGGAGAGGCCGGGACGGGCCAGCGACGGGCGAGCGCGGGGCCGCAGTGGGCGGCTAAGGCAGGGCCGCGACGCGTGGCGACGGGCCAGCGACGGGCAGCTATGGGCCGGGACGGGCCGGCTGAGGCAGGGCCACGACGGGCCAGCTAGAGAAGGGCGCGCGACGGCGCAGGTAAGGCAGGCGCGAGGCGCGCTTCGGGAAGGGCAGGAAAAAAAAGTTCGTGGTGGGCCCTAAAAAAAACGTTCCCACGAGGGAACCTGCTCAGAATACCATGTTAGAATCAGGAACGGAATGAATGAACTAGAAAGCAGGTGGGTACAAGTAGGAAACCTAAAAGTGTTGTACCCTATATGAACTACCCCACTACAGCCTAGATAGACTATAGCATATAAGTTTGACATGGCGCTGTTACTTGACCGGCGCCGACGTGACAGTACGGACAGATCACAAATCTCTACAGTACCTCCGCGCGCAACCCCACCTCAACCCACGACAAATCCGCTGGCTCAACTACCTCGAGTCGAATTTTCACGACACGGTCACCTACAAAAAAGGGGCATCGAACATCGCCGATGCATTAACCCGGCCCATAGCCCAACTTCACGCCATACTAGTTGCCCAGACCAGCCCACTGTTAACATGCCTATTTTCCCACGGCTATCAGACTGACCCATTCTTTACTGGCGGAAACTCGCAGCAGTTTGCAGCAGCAAGGGGAGTCTATTACGTAAAAGCCGGCACCGATCGCATCTGGGTACCGGGCTACACACTTCTACGGGAATTACTGTTGCAGGAGGCACATGACGGAGTCACCTCAGGACATTTCGGAGTAGAGAAAACACGGCAGCAGCTGCAGCGGTACTACTACTGGCCCGAAATGTTGACCGACGTGCAACGACACGTGGCATCGTGTCCCACCTGCCAAGTCATGAAATCATCACGGAAGCGGCCGGCAGGACAATTGCAGCCGATACCACCCCCAGAGCGTGCTTGGCAGCAGGTGACGATGGACTTCGTCACGGGGTTACCGGCGGGTGCAAGTGGGAACGACGCGATCCTGGTCGTCATCGGTCAATTGACGAAAATGGCACACTTTGCAGCCTGCAAGAAATCTATCACAACCGAAGAAACGGCCCGCCTCTTCATCGCAACCATTGTTCGATTACACGGGATACCAGCAGCAATCATCAGCGATCGTGATACGAAATTCACCAGCAATTTCTGGCGGAACCTGTGGCAGCAGTTCGGCACGAGACTACAGTTCAGTTCTTCGTACCACCGCGAGACCGACGGACAGACAGAACGGACAAACTAGACCATGGAGCAGTTAATCCGAGCCATGTGCGACGACCCCACCACCTGGGAACAGCAACTGCCACTCATCGAATTCGCGTACAACAACTCACCATCCGCCACGACCCAGCAATCACCATTTTACCTGAACTACGGACAAGACCCGACAGTACCCATGACCCCGAATCCCGACAACCCAGTACCACGTGCGCAACAATTCGCATAAATATTACAGGCAGCATGAACCAGGGCAGCAGAGGCAATAAAAAAAGCCAATGTCATCGCTAAGCGCAACGCCGACCGCCACCGCAGACCCGTCACTTACCAACCCGACGACTTAGTCCTACTCGACACTCAAAACCTCCGCCTACTCATAACCCCAAAACTCCGCTCCCGATATTGCGGGCCATTTCGCATCAGCCACATGATCACACCGGTCACCGCCCACCTCCTCCTCACCGCACACTGGTACGTCAGCCCCTCTTTCCACGTCAGCCTGCTTCGCCCCTACATTCCATCCACCAGCCAACTAGCCCGAAATCGCCCAGCCAGCATGACACGACCACAGACGGAACCACTCATCACGCCCGAGAAGATTCTGAGCCACTGAGTTCGCGACCCACGAGGAGCACGAAGGGTCGAATTTCTGATCCGCTGGAGAGATCGCACGCCCACCGAGGACAGTTGGGTCCCCCTGGGCAACATCGAAAACCACCCCGTCCTCACCGAGTACCTGCACAGCCGAAATTTCCAAGATATACATGCGCTCTCGTAAGGGAGGCCTCCTTGAGGGGGGGGGGTAGTGTAAGGAAAATTCCTTTTCCTTACTTCGCGTCCCTGCTCAGCGAGTACACCACTGTTCTCGCCACAGCACCCCACAATAATCCGTTACCACTCGTGACATTCGCCTCGACACCATTCCCGCCACTGTTCACGATGCGACCCAACCTCACGGTTCGGTTGGTAACCCGCGCTCCGGACCTCCGTCTCGACAATCCCCAACCTCGGCGCCAGGCCCGTCGCGCACCCCAAATTCCCACACATTACCGTTACCACTGTAGCTTCGCTATATATTCTTAGCTCAATCCTTCGCTCATTGTATCTTGTCTTGATAGTGCAATCCTCGCTCGTTCACTCCATTGCACTCGTAACACCAGGTCAACAATTACTCGCCCGGCCGTGCACCTAGATTGGATGTGCAAGCCTGGTGGGAATAAAGCTGGTAGCTGCAGCCAATAGCTTCGTCTTTGGTCCTAAGTCTTACCAGTCGATTTGGAACGGAAACCGACACGCACACGCTTCGATAATTGTCATGCTTGGCAGTTTTTCACGTGCCTCGGGTCGCACGAAGGTCACTCCTCCCATCACGTACTACTCACGTGACGCCTCGTTAGAGGAACATCATGCTTCGTACGTACGATTCCCTACTAGGATGCCCGCCTTTTTCTGGTGGAGGGTTTCGACCGCGAGAATGCCGGCCTCCCAGCTACAGCTCCTACCAACGCAATGATTCCGTTCACTCCGTGCCCCTTCCTTCCCCAGTCCACTTGGCCCACACTTCACCGGCGCATCCTCGTCCCTCGTCCCATCCGCAACCCCCAGCCTTCCCCCATCGCACACCTACTGATGCCCCACGAGTCTCGCCAGCGGAGCCTGGAAGTGCATCAAGAAAGCATCCCTCCGATGACGCGTAGAGCAAGGCCTGTCCCAACTCCCAAACGACAATCGAGCCAAGATCTTGGTGCATATACCGCATTGCTGCTCGAGCTGGTAACAGACGGTAGCGTAGTAAGCGAGCCAGAGTCGCGTCGAATCTATGAGCCGGGATTGCGAACCAAGATGGGTATAGGCGTGCGACATGGCCCTTCTCACCATTATCTTTCGAGATTCGGTGCCAGCTGAATTCTGAGACGACTCAATTCGTGCTCTCGTGCCAGTTCACTGAGTGCTCTTAGCTGCCTGATAACAGTACGACGACCGCTTTTAGGAACCGCGGATTTGCTGCCATGCCGCAATCGTCTGAGTTCGTTAACTCCCCGCCTTCCCAATCCGCGTCGCTCGGCATGCAGCCATGGTCGCACGAGGTGGGTTGCGCAGATGTGAGAAGAATCTTTCAAAATAATCCCGGATTTTCCGGATATGACATTCAATCTTGCAATATCGTCCGCGTCATTGGTGGATCATAATACATTTGTGCGTCAGGACGTTCATGCAGTATGCCTCGAGCCGCGCACTTCCACACTGGCAATGCTTCTGGCATTCACAACGTCGCATTCACGTTGGCATTCCCTCGCTTTGACTGGGCAGGAGGACGCGGTGTTGCTGCGCCACGCGCTGCAGTGCGGCACGAAGCAGTGGGGAGATCTGGGGAGGAGCGGTCAGCTCAAGCGGAGCAACAAGTCCTGCTGTAACCGTTACATCTTCCTCCGAAGGTAACCCTGCATATGCACCTGAATTAACTCCGGTTTCCTGATACGCCTGAGCATTTCTTTCTTACACGCCTCAGCCTTTCTAAACACTTCTGCTCGCCTGTGGCCGTGTGTTGATGACAGGAAGTTCACTCACCGCTTTCGCAACAACTTTCTGAGAAAGCACCTGGAAGATGCTGCATTCCTCCAGCACGTTTCCTTGGAAGGATACAATCAGCCGCTGTACTGTCAGGATTTCAAGCAGCAGCATCAGCATCAGCTACAGCAGCAGCATTGGCGGCGTGCAGAGGGCGTGGGTTCAGCTGAGCTCGCGTTTGGAGGGCTGTCGTTTGACGAGTGCACGGCCGTCTTTTTCGCCCCGAATGTGCGCTGCCACCACCTAGCTTTCCCACCTGTCCCACTGAACCTCTCACCTTTCGCCAGCCCACCTCCGGCTTCCCAAGCTCCTCATTTTGCTTCTCAAGCCGCCACCTTTTCTGCTGCGGCGCCTAATGCTCCTACCTCAGAGTTTTCACTCGCCCATGATGCCTTCCCCGTTGCTGCTGCCTCCACCGCCGCTGCTGTGCACCGCCCATTGAAGCGACGAAGGGACGACTGCACCAGCCTGGGGGCCGACCAGCCGCTGCTGGGCGGACGTGAGAGTCGGTGGATGCGAGGGGGGACGGTGCAAGGGGGGGCGGTGCGAGGGGGGGTGGTGCGAGGCGGGGTGGTTTGCGGAGGGATGGTCTGCCGGGGGATGGTGTGTTGCACGCAGCTCCGGCGTCAGTCAGTGGCAGAGCAGTTCCAGCAGCAGGGGGAGAGCAGCCGCGTGCAGCAGCAGGCAGCGGACGAAGCCCTTCTGGAGGCATTGCTGTGGGAGGAGCGTGGCCAGCAGCAGCAGGGAGGAGTGAGGAGCAGGGCGCAGCGGGTGTTGTGGCCGCGCGTTGGGTCAAAGAGTGTCCTTCCAGACGACGTGCTGCTGGGGTGCAGCAGCGACGAACCTGCCCTCATGCAACGTGCCGCTCTGTCTGCTCCTCCGCCCACCCGGCCACACGCAGAGCTGCCAGCGCCAATGCCCTCCCAATTTGCTGCTCCGCCTGCCTCCACTTTCTGCGTTGGAAATTCCGCCCTTAGCTGTGGGGATTTCACTCCCTGCATTGGGGATTTCGGCGAGGGCTGGCCGCGCGTTGGGTCGGAGAGTGCTCTTCCAGACGACGTGCTGCTGGGAGTGTGCTGTGAGGACCCTGCCTTCACGCACTGCTCTGCTCCCTCAGCTGCGCCGTCCACCCAGCCACGCGCAGCACTGCCAGCGCCAATGCCCTCCCTGCTTGCTGCTCCGCCTGGCTCCGCTCTCGGGAGCATGAGCAGCGGCATGACACGGACGCTTGATGGGAGTGCGGGTGCCATGCAGGATCTGGAATACTTGGACGCGTGCATTGCCATGCAGGAGCTGGAATACTTGGACGCGCGCATTGCCATGCAGGAGCTGGAATACTTGGACGCGTGCATTGCCATGCAGGAGCTGGAATACTTGGACGCGTGCATTGCCATGCAGGAGCTGGAATACTTGGACGCGTGCATTGCCATGCAGGAGCTGGAATACTTGGACGCGTGCATTGCCATGCAGGAGCTGGAATACTTGGACGCGCGCATTGCCATGCTCGGCAATGGAAACAGCAGCAACCACAACCACAGCAACGACAAGGAAAACGACAATGGCAACTGTGCTCTCTTTCTGGACACGCCCGTGGCTCACATGTTGCTGGATGGGCGTACCCTCACCGTGCACTTGGGGAGTGGGCCTCAGCAACAGGCGCTGGCAGCCCCTGGTGCTGCTGGGGCAGCCCCTGGTGCTGCTGGGGCAGACCAGCCTGAGTGGGCGGTGGAGCAGGGAGGGACCTGGGAGGGAGATGCTCAGTGGCACCAACACCGGCAGCTGAAGGGTTGTGGGCGTGGAGAGATGGAGCGCATTCTCTCGCACCACCAACCGCTGCTGCCGCTCTCCCAAACTCCTATGCTGTCAGCCCCCACTCAACCAGTCCTCTATGGTGTGCCCAGTGCATTGAACATGCCCTCGAATCCAAGGAACTCGCACATGCAAGTTCTTATACAGCCACGCCCAGCCATGCTGCAGCAGCCCTTCCCCACTGGTGGTGCTTTACCAGCGCTCTGCCCACCCCATGCTGCTTCCTTGGCCCGACATGGACTTTACTCAGAGATTTGATGATGGTGCTGCTCCGCATGCCACTGACTCGATACCAGTGTGGATGGCCGTGACTCGACTAATCTGTTCAAGGAATTTTTGCGCTTGATACCGTAAGCCCCCGGATATAAGCGCAGGCCTCGGATCAGCGCCGGCGCTTATAAAAGGATGACGACGCTTATATCCGATCCTCGATTATAAGCCCACCCCTGAAGGCTTACGGATTATAAGCGCCACCCTCTGTTTGTTTTTGCTACCGTCATCGCCCGGATATAAGACAGTGTTGAATAGTAGACAGGGGTTGTCTACTATACGGGTGTCTCTTATAAACAGGCAAGCCTTTTTATACGACACCTATTTGTGTGTACGAGATAAGACATATATGTCTTATAATCAGAACCGGGGTTTAGGGGTTTTCTTATAAACAGGGGGTGTCTTCTAAACGAGCCTACACTACTTTAGGGGGGTACATCCATACATTCATGAATCCCTACTTCTACCTAACCCCCCTCAGTAACCGCCTCCTCTGCAGCACTAGCAACAGGCTCTACGCCCAGGTCTGGCACTCGCCAGGCATGCCTAGCCGTCTCCCTTGGCTCGATCATGCGGTCAGCCTCGGCCGCCGCTCCGCGGTAGTTGGGGGTCTCCTGGTACAGCACCTCCAGGCCAGTTGCCACGGCCACCTCCCGCACGCCCTCCGCCTGCATCGCCTCCTCCTCCTCCTCCTCCTCCTCCTCCTCCTCCTCCTCCTCCTCCTCCTCCTCCTCCTCCTCCTCCTCCTCCTCCTCCTCCTCCTCCTCCTCCTCCTCCTCCTCCTCCTCCTCCTCCTCCTCTGGAGCCTTCCGAAGCAGGCGCGTGTTGTCGCCTGTGGTCCCCCTGAGGGACATGTCCTCGGAGACATCGGTGGTGCTCCTGGCGCGCAGGTGAGACATCACCAGGTGGTTCTCCGTTCCGTCCAGCTTGCTGGAGATCCCACAGTGGCGGAACGCGTCGATGATGATCTGCCTGGGGACTTGATCCCAAGCCTCCGCGATCCACTGCAGCACCACGGGGTGCGGAGGCCTCCGTAGGTTCCCTGCGGGTGGGACAGAGGACACGGCAGCGAGATGTTAACGATAAGGACACGAAACAGAGCAGGAATTTAAAATGAACAGCCAACTCACCCTTCTTCGTCTTCAGGTGAATCCCTTCACGCATGAACCACCTGGCGTAGCGCGCTCGCACGGCAGCCTTGAAGCACCGGTTGATGGAGACGTCCAGGGGTTGAATCTGGCTCGTACAACCCGCTGGAATGACTGCAGGGGTGATGCTGTGCGTGCGGTACGACTGAAGCATGGTCTGGGTGATGTGGCCGCGGTAGGAGTCCAACACCAGCATCGCACGCCTCGCGCTCTTGCCGCGCTGGGGGTTCAGATGGGGAAGCACCTCCTTGGACAGCCAGGTCTGCACAGCACTCTCGTCCATCCACCCGTTGTCCTGTGCTTGGACCACGATTCCTGCCAGGCACACAAGGGACAGACGGACATCAGCACAGTGGGGCACGCTCATGAGGCAGGGGCAAGGTTGAAGTCATGGCGCTTACCGTCCGGAATCTCACAGTTGGGGACGTTCTTCATCTTGAACCACACCCACGGCCGCAGCTTCTCCCCGGATGTAGTGCACGCGAGCATCACCGTCAAGCGCGTCTTCTGGTAGCCTGCAGTGCGGATTGGGACCGAGCGCGCGCCACGGTGCTCGATCGTCCTCTCGGCCGGCATCTCCACGAACAGTGGCGTCTGGTCCGCGTTGATGATACGGGCCAGGTCGATGTTGTGCCGCGCCCTGTTGATGCGCACGAACTTCCAGAAGGACTCGCAGTCCTTCGCGCACTCTGCAAACGGGACAGGAACAGAAGCGAGGGACGGTTAGACAACGAGCAAGGTAAGACATGCATACAATGGGCCGTGCGCGGCACGAACTCCTTATCCACGCACCTGCCGACAGACGTTGTCCGACCTTCGTCTTCACCCGCATCACCAGGTTCCAGCGGTCACGGAAACGCTGGCTCCAGTGAGAGCTCGCGTTCCAGTTCTTGCCGGGGTAATGCTTCTTCATCCACTCGCGGCTCCACTTTTGGGTGTCCTTCACCGAGATGGCCACCCCGTTAGCGCGCTGAAGGCAGATGTAGCGGTACAACGCTGCCTCCATGTCGGGGTAGTGTGCGTGGCGCCCCCCCCCGTGCATCCGCTTGCGGCAGTTAGCCGCGCCCTTGTAGATGCCCGCAGCCGCCTCCGCGCACCAGCGTCTGATGCAGGCGACGCTCGCGGTTGACTCCAAGCTAGTCTTCTTCAAGGAGCCGAGCTCCTGATAGCGGCGCGCCCACTTAACCTTCTCACGCACGGTCCAGCCGCGGCGCTTCTTCGTAGTGTCTTTGCTGCGAGGGGAAGGTGGGCGGGTGTTGGGATTATGGAGGGTGGGGTCCTTCGGCGCCTCCTTCTCAGGGAACGTGGGAATCGGGCCCGCCGCCGCCGCGTACTCATCGTCGCTGCCCAACGCCTCGTTGACGATGATGTCGTCAGGATTCGGCGCCTTCTTCGCCTTTTTCTTTGCCGCACCCTTGCTGGATCCAGGGTCTCCGTCGTCCTTGCGCTTCTTGTTGCTTGTGCGGCCACGAGCAGGGGCCTTTGCAGGGGCCTTAGCAGGGGACTTAGCAGGGGCTTCCACGACCTTTGCCTTTCCCTTCTCCGCAGCGGTGAGTAGGGGGCGACGCTCCTCCCCGGAACTGTCGTCGTCACAGAGCACCACGCGGGCGCGCTTCGTCGTGGACTGTAGGCGATGGCGCAGCCTCCGCTTCAGTAGCGGAACGTCGTCGTCTGTCCCAAGGCTCCACGGGTCGTCGTCGTCGCCCTCACCCTCAAATAAGACGGCATCCGCAGCCACCTTGTTCGCCTCCGACACCGCGTCCGCATCCGCAGGCGCCTCTGTCTCGAGTTCCGCCGCCGCCTCGTCGGCAGCCTCATTCGCATCCACCGCCGCTTCCTGTGCCTCCGCGTTGTCACCGCCAGCATCTTCACCTCCGTCGTTGTCGGAATCACCAGCCCGCCACTCTTCCACCTCGTCGTCGCTCCCGACCGGCTGATTCCACCATTCGTCCTCCTCGATGTCGGCAGTACCAAATTCGTCGCCCGAAGCGCTGTCATCGTGGCCGTTCTCCGGCCAATCCTCCTCGGCGTCGTCGCCGTGTGCTTCGTCTCCGTCTTCCCCGTCACAGCTCGCACCGGAGGCGGCGGTAGGACTTCCCGCCTTGCTCGCGTTCTTCGCCATGGCTACGCGGATGTCATCGCCGGGCGAGTTAATTCGCCCGTAGTTATTCACCTGCACGTGAGGACGAGGTGAGGACTTGCCTAGGGGTACCTTGCTGCGCATGGTTAGAGAGCCTGCCGAGAGCAAGGTTGAGGTGAGAATTCAACCTCCATGAGCACCAAATGAAGTGAAAGCCCGACTACCCCCCCCAGCCAGAGTGCCCCATCCACAGGTGCTGAGCCGCTCCTCTACGAGGCATCTCCTCGTAGAGGACAGCCTGACGCTGCCAACGTGCTGCCAGCAGCGTTCTGGAAGTTGCCATGCGCTGCTGGCAGCAAAACGACGCTGGCAGCATCATTAGATGCTGCCAGCACACAGGAATCTTGCCAGCGGTGGCAGCTTTGCTGCATCACCACCGAGGTCGGCCTGTTTCAATGAATCTGGTCCCTGGGTGTTTTCTACACACTTTGCAAGTGTTACAGTCAACTTAAAATTTTTTCCATTTATAAGAATTATAAGACACCCTAAACCATCCCGTTTACAAGATAACTCAAGCATTTTTGCCCGTGTACGAGATAGGACATATATGTCTTATATCCGGGCGATGACGGTACAATTGTACTGAAATCGTTGTAACGAAACTCACATTTTCCATTCCCACATTGTTGAATTTCGATGCCCTTCACCTCGCTCAGCTCATTGCCTGCGCGTCCAGTCAGAATGAGCTGCCGGCAGCGTATGTTGACTCATTCTGACTGTGTTGTTGGCGGGGGATCATTCCCTGCCAACTAGCGCGACATTCTCAATTCTCAAATTGCAAGATCGTGATCTACAATTTGGTGTAAGAAATACGCATTTCATAAATGTCATTATATATGCGCCAGCGCTTATAAAAATCCTCGATTATAAGCGCACCCCCTAAACAACATGTTAAGACTAAGTCATAGGGAATGATTGATTAGGTCAAGATTGGGGTACAAGACTAGAGTGTCGAGATTGTTTTTGTACCCTCTAAGGCTAACCCCAATACATCCTGGATAATAACAAGCATATCTTTTGACACACCCCCATAGGCGAAATGGGGGATAGCCAAAGCAAGCAATGGTCACAAGACCAGTCAAGAGAAGGAACAAAACACAGCTCAAGGTGGATCACAACGTCACCACACACACTGAGCACAAGCAAACGGCCACAAGGCCAGTCCACATGCAGAGGTATATAAGCAACAAGAACAGTACAGTGATCTCTACCTAGCAAGAACAAACATGCAGGTATAGATATATAGATCACAGCACAAACAAAGCCTACAGCAAGTGAGGAAGCGTGGGCACAAGGCCTAACAAAGTACAGAAACGCTGATGATCACCAGACGGAAGTGCCTTGGTGAATATATCAGCAGTGTTAGCCCGAGTGGCCACGTAAGCAAGACGAAGCTGGCCACGCTGCTGCAACTCTCGAGCAAGGAAGTAACGCAGGGCGATGTGCTTCGTTCTGTGCTCCAGTCTGTGCTCCTGACACAAGGCAATGGCGGCCTTGTTGTCGACGTACAGCACTGGAGGAGAACGAGGCCGCTCTCCCAAGTCAGTCTGCAGGTAGGTGAGCCAGTGAAGCTCCTGTGCAGCCATGGCTGTGGCGTAGATCTCAGCCTCACAAATGGAGCCGAGAACTGAAGACGAGCGTGTAGAACGCCAAGAAACTGAACCAGAGCCAAGGCTGAAGGTGTAACCCTGTGACGACCGCTGCGTAGCCTGGTCGTCAACCCAAGAGGCGTCCGAGTGACCGGTGAGGACAACGTCACCCCGTCCTCCAAGCACGAGCCCCATGCCCGATGTACTGCACAAGTAGCGTAGTACCCTCTTAGCAGCATCCATGTGCACCTTTCGGTGCCGACCAGGAGCCACGTAGCGAGCCAGAAGGCCAAGAGGGTACGCAAGGTCAGGACGAGTGCAGGTCATCAGGTACATGAGGCAGCCCACTAGCTCTGGGTAAGGACCACTCGGCTCTACGGACTCGTCTGAAGGTGGAGCTGAGAGCGAGTGACCTGTAGCCAGAGGAGTGGGCTGTGCTGAGGACCAGGTGAAGCCGAAGCGCTGAAGAACCTGCTGCACCATGTGTGACTGAGTCAGTGTGATGGTGCGGCGTGCTCTGTCCCGGGTGATCTGCAAGCCAAGGTAGCTGCGCAGTTCACCCAGGTCTGTGCACGTGTGTCTCTTCTGTAGCTCCGACTTCACCAGGGCGAGAGCCTCAGTGTCAGCAGTGGCAAAGACCAAGTCGTCGACGTACACGAGGATGTAGAACGGCTGCAGCGAAGTGTCGGTGCGCAGAAACAGCGACGAGTCAGCAGTCGACGGGGCAAACCCAAGAGCCGCAAGCGTCGTCCTCAGTGTGTCGTGCCACTAACGTGGCGCCTGGCGGAGACCGTAGAATGGCCGCCGGAGGCTCCAATGGGTACCAGGAGGGAACGACCCAGTGAAGCCAGGTGGGCGGCGCAGCCAGATCTCCTCGTGCAGGCTGCCCTGTAAGAAAGCTGTGCTGAAGTCAAGAGAGTGAAGCTCGTAGTCACGCTGAGCGGCAACATGTAGCAGCACCCGAAGAGTGGTCATCT